ACATCGCTATAGAAATCGGCGACATCTACAACACTTCCACCAGGGTATGAACTATATGACATACTGGAATTATAGAAACCACAAACTGAAATAGTAGTAAAATTAGCTTGTTCGGCTAAATATTGAGTTGTTTGAGCACATGCAGAACTACAAGCACCATGGAAACTTCCAACTTGATAAAAAAGTTATGAGAAATTGATTGCCATATAATTCATTAAATAAATTAGAATATCTAGTAGTTACACCACCTCTTGTATATTGATTGTTGCCAATATATTCATCAGAATTATTAAATAGTTCATAAGTAGTATACGATAATGTTGATTTAGGAGCAAAATCAGCTAGTTGAAAGTTTAATTCATCAGCTTGTTTAATAAGGAATGTCGTAATATTATTAATCTTAATATCACGTGGAAATGAAGCTTTCTTTTGTGAGAAGAAGAGGTTATTTAAGTATTGTGAAAGTTCTATGTATCCACCACCATTATTAGTAAAATCTAAGACAATCTGTAATCATTATTTAATTTATAAAAAAATATTATTAGATAAATAAATTGGTATATGAACATGAATTGCAAGTATACTATCTAGCTCTAGCTATTAAATAATAAAATAAAATACATGCCTTCTTTACTCCAGATTTGGCAAGTGAATCACTTATCAACAAGTTCCATTGTTATTTGACTTATAACTATGTTTTGTAATATTCGGTCCGAAAGTAGGTATCACTACGACACCAATATCACCGATCTTCAAAACCATTGTAAAATCTCCAATATATGTAATATTCTCACCGGTAATTAATATTTTATTATCAGCCAATTGTTCAGTTTGTAAGTTAAGTTTTTTGCTTTTCTAAAAGGAGTAGATTGAATAGAACTTTCTATAAGGCAGGTTGATTTGTAATAACTTTTGGAATCAGTAAAATTATAAAAATTTGTATAATTATCATTATTAGCAAATATCTTCCAAGGTCTTATAAGTTTTTTTGTATCATTAGTGTTAGAACATTTAATATCGTAAGTAACGTTTTCATTTTTATGTAAAGTTGAGCGTAAAGCAAAATTACTATCAATTATACTGTAATTTTGATTACTTAATTGAAGTGAAACTAGTGCCAAGCTAAATCTTACACCAAGATCACGAGAGTTTTTAATATTCTTTTTTGCAAAATCTGTAATTACTTCTAAAGCAGGAGAGCTGTCAATATGCGTAACTTCACATCCAACATTTGAAGAATTTAGATCATCATGAAATACTTTAATAGACTATTATAATATATATATAATTACAAATGAATAATTTAAAAAATTAATTATATTTTATTTAAACCACAATATATATATATATATTTACCTGACTTCCTTCAGGGTCCACTGATGAATAAAGTAGGATACTTTGTTTAAAATAAAATGCATTATAGCAAGCAGGTATAAATTGGTATGAGCATATTTAAGATCAATAATAATTTGAGTGATGTTGGACTGTTATAAAAGCATATTAGAATAGATTTAGGAAATATTAAGTTGTATATTAGATATATTAGATATATTAGATATACGAAATAAATAATTATAAAAATTTTATATAATACATACCAAAAATTTAAAATCCGTAGTATAATTTTTTTTAAGCAATGCATCAGAGTTCAGTAATTAAATCAACAGATCTGAAGTCAAATCTGTCTTGTGCTTTTTCCTTTGATTGATCTAAATATATATAAAAGTCATTATATATTCCTTTGAGCGATTCAACGACCTATTTTAAATAATAACGTTTATGAGATAATCTTGAAAATTTTCATAGTGATTAGAGCATTACATTTAGTATTCACGATTATAAGTAATCATAATTTGGGTTATTATTCCGAATGTAATGCTCTACAATATGGGTGCAGCCAAGGCAAAACCTCCAAGTAAATATTTATCACTATGGTAAATATAACCCGGAAAATTACGATATTACTAAATTACATATGAATATCACTAAGGGAAAATCAGGAAAACCTTTCATCGGGCTTTCAGAATACAGATTGCATATTTATTCATACGTAATATTAAAATTTTCAGGGATTAAGTTTGTCATGGTGATAACTTTAATATTTACTTACAGTTATTGCTTTGTCAGTATTCATATCACATGACCAATCCATTTATAAATTTACTTTAGAAGCTCGATTAAGATCGAAGGGAAAACTCAAATAACAGTCTTTGACATCATTATACTTTATGTCCAAAGTACTCTTGGTTTTTCTTAAGGATGCTTCATAGCTCTCATGAATTCTAGCACATCCATCAAGATTATTTGTTGATTCAGCTCTATTTTCGATTGGAATCGCAGATGAAAAAGTTCTATAGATCGTAAGTATTATTGCAAATATTATAATAACTCGCATTTTGTGTATAATAACTTAAAGTTTATGTATTTACTAAAATATTGTATCTCAGAAACATTAAAACTTGCGATTTTTCGTGTTCTTTTATAAATATATATATATAATATATATATTTATAAAAGAATTATTCCTATTACTTTAACAAATTGATACAATCTATAACAAAGCTATCTATATTTCGATTGATAAGATCTATAGCTGCTGATATATGTATGTACGTATGTACATAATTCAGTACTAAAAATAGGTCTCATTTTCGAAATTTCAATTAGCGGTAGCTGAGTAATAACATTATAATAATATTACTTTCTTTTTTTGTTGAAAACTTTCCAATATAGTATCATTCAGTTCTAAAGTCAATGAAATCCGGATTTTAATTTAAATCGTATTCTGTACAACAAAGAAAAATGCCCAATCCTGAGGCGCTAGTTACTATTTATGTATTTATCTAAACGAGTAATTTCAACCAAATTTAGATCAACTAAGCTGTGCATACATGTGGTCACGTTTCGTAATAATAAACGGAGAATCATCATCGCTACGTATTCTTTATTATTGTGCAGCCATGTTATGCACTAAAAATTTTCATATTTGTACAGTTTACGTCATCATCTTTTTTATACTTGAAATTTGTCCACAAAGAAAAGAAAGTTTAAATTTGATGACGTAAATTATACGAAAGTTAAAAAATAGTATAGTCGTCAATAACTGCTTTACAATAAATATAAAGGATTATTTCTAACAGACATAGGCGTTTGATTGTTTAAATGATTCACAGCTAAAAAATGCAGACGAATTACTTATTAGATCTTGTCAATGATTGAATTTGAACGCCACAAAATTTATTAAACAAATGGGAATATCCTTATAGAGTAAAAATCAAGGTTTGGTTTTGACATTATTTAACGTTAAATGGAAATTCGGTTGTATAATAAACAGCCTTTTACATCATATATGATTCTTAAAATTTCTGGTTTGAACACAGTTTTAATTATAAAAAAAGTAAAGTCGACTTCAAACTCATAGTCGGAACGAAGCGAATACCCGTGTCCGTTGCTATTTTTAGAGATCGTCTAAAGCACAAGTCGTGTGATACATTTTATATGCACTTGCTTTATAAGTTTACGATCGTCGATACTTATATAGTAAATTTGTCTTT